AACTGCGGTCACGCAAGGAATTGCTGATCCACTTAATAACTCTGTGGCGAAAGCCGACGTACTGGAGCTTATTTGAAAGAAATGAAGTAGGCACTCGGTTAAAAGCCTTTGCGAAATCAAAATACACTACATGAACATCCTCCTCAGATCAATAGCCTTGGTCCAATCGTTCAAGGACGTAAGCAACGCTGTCCTCCACTGATCGTCCCTTACAGAATCCATGTTGTGAAGAGGGAATAACATTGTTACATTCTAAGTGGGCCAAAAGCCGGCGCTTCAATATTTTTTCAAATGCTCTAGCAAATATGGAAGTAATGCTGATTGGACGGTAGTTTCCGAGGAGGCTGTAGGGTGCTTTTTTAGGCACAGGTACCACTAGCGAATGTATCCAACGCGAAGGAACTTCTCCCTCATATAAGACAGGTTGAAAATATGATATGCTCAAGGGGGTAAAGTATGTGTCCAAGGATCATTTTGATAAATCTAAAGGGAACGAAGTCAGGAGTAATGGAGGAAGAATTGGGCCAACTAGAGAGTACTTCAAAAATCTCGTCTCTATGAAACCAAATGGAAGGCTCCATAACGGGACAGATAGGCAGTAATTCCTGGGAAACATGCTGGTCAGATGACGTATAAGCAAGAAGGAAGGTCCGCGCAAGGAGGTCCGCCTTACCACTATCACTTGTCGCAAGATGAGATTCATCAATCAAAAGAGAGGGCATTTTGTTGCTGTCTTTTATTCTAGTACTAATATACTTGTATAGTTTAGAGAGGTCTGAGATTTTGAATGTCATTATGGTTCTTTGCGGTTGATAAGATGCATGGCGCATCTTAGCAATCGTTATTCGCACTTTTCTGATGAACAGCTTACGATAGACGACGGAAGGCTCATTCCAATGAGAGCCGAAACAAAATGAACAGCAAACTTCTAATGATTAGTGAAGTCAATAGAAATACTCACTTTATTGGAAGTGAAACAGCTAATAGCCGGTCTACTCCTAATATGAGACCCATACCAGCTTGTACATTCAGCGCAAACAGGCCGAATATACTGTACATGAAGCAGTCAATATTCGGTCGAAAATACCATTTTTGGAGCATCAAAATGCGCAGTTCAACCTGGAAACACGAATAATCCTGATTTGAAAGACATCATTCGAAAGTTGAAACGTTGTTTGGATGACGATAACCGATAAGGTTTGCCAAGATTCAAAATTCTCTTTCAGCTTTCTTCGAGAATTTTTGGAATTTGCTGTTTTGAATGAACCTCAGTGGACAGACCCAGGCCAACGGTGTTGTATGGGGTATAAGTGCGTCCTGGCAAAATCATCTAGGAATTTCGTAAAACAGCCAGATGTATTCTCTGCACAGATTTCTAAATACCCCAATTTCCGGTAGATAAGCCCGCGCTGATTTCACGCGGTGTAATTTTGTACAGCTTGGAATCTACCGTAAATTTGCCTATAGAGGTAATTCGATGCCCTGATTACGAAAATGACTTTCATTTTAGCGGTGGCGCCATCTGGCGCCAGTTGGCGTCACCTTGTCACGACACCTGTTTTCACCAAATTTGGTGTAAACTTCCGTATAGGGGTTATTTGGTGTCCTGATTACGAATATGACATCCATTCATTATGCCTAAAACGAATGTCATATTCGCAATCAGGACACCAAATACGTAGCCCCTATACACATGTTTGGTGAAACATGGCGCCACGCTAAAAAATTGAATGTCGTTTTCGTAGTCAGCATATCGAATAACCACTATGGGCAAGTTAGCGTCTCTAGATGTATGCTAAATTCCTGCACCGCGGAGTTGTTTTTACAGATATTGCGGCGCTCATCTATCCGAAATTACGTAACAAACCAAAGTTGTAGTTTGTTTCTTTTTGTGAGTTTTTTCGGTAAAAATGTACTCAGTTTGTTAGAAGCACTCCTTGTGTTTATCCTTAGTAGTGGAGAGTACTTTTCTGAGCTCTTTACGACAATCAAGGACCAGTTAATAAGTAAACGGCTCATTTGTGGTGTACGTTTGATAAGGACTGTTGAATGTTCTATATTCCATGCATCCTGCACACATACACCCAATTGCTTGCAACTGGTCATTCATCTCGGAGCTCCTTCACTCTTGCGCGTGGGCAAAGATATCTATTCTCCTGGTTTGGGACCGTGTTTCTAGGGTAACGCAAGCCGAATTGTGGAAGCACTCTAGACTTCTTCCACATTACACCGATGTTATCCGGTACGTATATGAGCGGCGTGTTCTTATCTTAGTACTCACAGCACATATGAGTAATCCCAACGTCGCCATCGCCCCTCCAAGCTACATTCGTCCATCGAAATTTGCGGTATAAAGATGCTTCTGCGCCAATTTTGCATTTTTATATCGTGTTTTTTGAAAAGCTTGTTTGGCCCAGAGGTATTATTATCAATTATAGATGTGAAAAAATGCCCAGTTTCACGGAAACCGACATGAAAAATAATGAACGGTGTTTTGACGTACCAGGTAGATACAGACGAAGAAATCGATATGGCAAGAATACAGATCAATATATTACAACGATGTTTCAGAGCAGGTGAGAATATTGTCGCCAAAATTATAATTCCGTTGCCAAGTACGCCAATAATGGAAAAAGTCAATGTGGCGATCACCATAGGCATTGGCACCAAGGACAGTGGGTAAGGTTACATTTTGCGACATTTATGCGGATCCGGAGCAATCCTGGAAGCAGAGGTTGTGATGTAAACGAACAATATGAAATGGAAATTCGGAAAAGCGAGTATACGACAGAAATCCAGCAATTTGGCATTTGAAATTTGAGGCATAAGAAGGTGCAAGAACTGCTAATGCTCGCTCAAGCAGTATACATGTCAGGACAGCATTATCACGGGGATAGAAATAAGATCCATAAGCGGGCAATACTCAAAAAAATGTAATAAAATATTAATATTCAATTATATACTTTATTGTTGATGACTGGTTTTGCGCAGATGGCGGCGCGAATATCACATTAATCTATCGGTTTCTAATTTCCAGCAAAGCTGTCGACGTGAGGGCTCTCAAAACGAGCTCCGCGCTTCTTTCGGCAAGCTGTTTTTCACGTGTTGGGCAGATCTTATTAACCAAGCCGCGGAGAAAACATACCTAAATTCATTAAAATTTTGAGGAGTGGCCCCACGGAAAACAAAATTCAGATTCGAGATTGAGGTCTGCTCAGAGCTTTGTCTCCATCTCGGCCACGTTCGAGCTCTCGTGATGGATTTGTCTCACGTTCTGCTATATTTCAAATGACTCATCCTGGGTACCTGACAGGGTAATGTTACTTACGGGCAGGAGGTCCGTCGCCATGCGAGAAGGCAGAGAAGCGGACGGGTCACGGAGGAAGTCGTAGCGCGACAATATGGGGTGTACTATACTGTATATTCTTCTTAACTTGATTCGAAGGCGCTACATTACGCGCTGTGGCTCGTCGCTACCTTCTTAGCTCTCTCTTTCTCCGCGTGGCTGGCATCTGTCGGGGTTTACAGGTTACTTGAATTTTCCAGTGCCAAGAATGGCGCCGAACACAGACAGTTAAAGAGCGGCATCTGGTGCGGCTCCAAATCTCAAGTAAGGAGGTGCGAGCTCTAGGACCAAGCCTTGGAGGAAGGAACTCCAGGGTGAATTAGCCGATTACAGTGAGGCAAAAGCTAGAATGCGTGAGAGCACAATGGTCATCAACAGTTAATAAGGCGAGAGAGCGCAGACGAGAGCAAACGTATCAGCGCTCAAAAGGACCGATTCAAGTAGTTCGTTGACCTCCTGTCGGTATCTATTTTTTTGAAAGCCTTCATTGCGTATATAATTATACTCAATCTACTATCTGCGAATTTTGAACTTTGTTCACCTGGAGGCGCTATGTGGGGGAGAGCTTCGTTGGCACTTTACCAAACTAAAAATGACTGATCAGATCCCTCTCGCTTTCTCCAAATTTTGCTTGAGCTGCGCCTCCATATAAGCAACGTGGGGGTTTCACTAGTATCGTATGAACATAGTATGTATAGAGTGTGGCAGATTAAGGGAATAATACACGGCCTCATTTTGAAGTTCATGGAAGAGTAACCCATGCACATATAATCCACTTTTATCGTCATTCAAATTGAGGGAGTACTTCTGAAAGTGGCCTCATCGGAGAATGCACTACGGGGAAGGGGGGCGCAGAGGTGGAGGTGAAGGTTTGTGGCGAGGGAAGGGGTCGGGGGGCAAGGAAGTGGGACTTTAAACCTAAAACTAGCCGCTCCCGAAACGGTCCCGCCCCTGTCACCCCCTGCATTCACATTTGCGACTTTATCGAAATTGTTGGTTTCCGCACTTTTTCTAACGTCAGTGTCTTGTATTCCGTAATAACTTCGTATAGCATCGGCCCCCCCCCTCTCCTTATCCAAACCACAATTTTGATCCTGTCAACCCAAAATCGACGGACCCAAGAAGGATCTCGTATCTTTGCTTCTGATTGCTTTCTCCGCTTTTCTATTTTGGTTCCATCTCCAGCCCGGAATTATTGAAGTCGGGTTTCCAAGCACGAAACTTTGTAAGCTCCCCTTGTATCGTTCAGGTCAGGGTGGTTAATCAAGGCACGCGATATTTGTGGACAATTATCTGCCTCTGATATACAGGGGTGGCCAAAAAAAGAGACACTCAGCCCATGGCGCACATCATCGAACTTTTCGTCACACAGGGAGCCGATGTTAATGAAAGTTTTATGGCGTTATATTCCTTAGTTGTTCCTCCGTAAACAGAAGCAAGCACTCCTTCACTGCCCCTGCCGTCTCCAGAATATGACGTCATCTGCCGTCACCGTCGAGCTCAACGAGGCTTACCGAAATCGCTCCGACCTGAAGCTGCTACACAATTTCCTCAGTGAATTAATTGTTGAATAGCTTCCCAGAGACATTAGCTGTGAATGTGCAAAACCGCTTTTGACCTGCGTTTCAGAGACGTCGTAATCGTCTATGGTATCTCAACGACCTCGTTGAGATCGTACCGCGCACAATGCTTCCGTGGGAAAATCTTCTGATGTCGTCGGTGTAGAAGGCTGTTGTGTAGCTTGTTGATAGATTATAACGTGCTCTTCAATATTCAGTTGGGGTCATTTGGTTTGGTTTCGCGACGCGTAAATAATTCCGTTTTGAATGTTGAGTGAAGTGTCTCTTTTTTTTGGCCACCCCTGTATATGCACAGTGCCCTCAACGTAAAACAGCCCGTTGACGCGTGTAATGAGGATTGAATAGAAACTAAGCGTCAAACCCTGTTATTACTTTGAAGAATTCTCAAGCATAACAAAAGTGAAAAAAAAAACAAAAGTCAAGGAATTAGCCGACACTAGTAATTATATGTGCGCGTTCTTTTTAGCGTTTGGTCGATGAACACCTGACATTCACTCACAGTGTACTGATGAACCATCGTAAGTACATCACAGAAAGTTGCAGAAGTGCAAAGAAAGTCGGTAGTGGAGGAGCACAGTGCACTCATGGCACAGTTACAGGATTAACACCCTCATTTGCACATCGAAAAGCACTGGTTAACAATTAGCACATGAAAGGACCGAAGGCTTACTTCATGATTTACACTTTCGGCTTAGTAGAGTAAATTACTAGTAAATTACTTGCTGACAGTAGTACGGGATCAGCTACCTTCACTCGTCAAACCTAGCAAACGCAGGATTGGTGCACAAGCAAAAGACAGCGACAGCACTAGCGCAGTTCCATGAATCGGTTCAGGTGAACCAAGATTTCTTTTCACTGAGCTGACTGCATAGTGCATGTCGTCTGGAACAATCGGAGTGTGATGTTATGCTCACAATTGTGACGATTCCTGATGAAACTTAGTTGCATGGCGCACCTCAAAGAACGATAAGAATCACCTGTCACCTTTTTCTTGAAGGCAAGAATCAGGATTACATTGATGGGTTGATTCCACTCAAATGTGAAAGTAGGGATGGAGGTGGACCGCCAGTGGAGAAAAAAGGAAAGAAAATCCTGAAATACACAGGAAATACGAGCATTTTGCTCATGCTGTGGAGAAGTTCAAAAGACAGGCAGGGAGATGAGAGATAATGTGAGCGCGGAGAGTGGTAGAGAAGTCCGAGAAGAGAGAGCATAGCAGATCAACGCAGCGACGCAGACAAGATATCGACGGTGGGCGGACCATGTTAGTTTGGTGGAGTCTGTTAGAAGTCCATGGCGCCTAGGGTCCTAGTGACGCGTTTCGATGTAGAAAGGTGGCGCTACCTTTGCACTTGCGTACCCAGCACTTCTAGCCATGGTAAGGGCTTCTTAGGTGGGTCTGAGCCCGAACTTTGCCTTTAAGAGACCATTTACGTGAGAATCGAATGCAAAAAGGCTGAATAGTATTGCCTTAAAACTGCAAACTTAGCGAATTATAATGCTTTAATTGCTATTGCGGATAGGGTAAAACGGTACAATAAAGAGTGTGTGGAAGCATGGAAGACACGCACCAGTGGAAGCAGTAGTCAGGGGCCTAAGGAAGCAAGATGTGGCCTTTTCGTGGCCAAAGGCGCGCTAGTTCAGCGCCCTGGGGCTGCCAATCCTTCCCTGAGCTCCGCCTCCGCCGCCTGTGCTCCGCCCATTAGTGTGTTGCTAGCAGCATCATTGTTCTGATCTTTAGACGAGATATCCTATTTCGAGCGCATGAACTAACTTTTCCATGGAATGTATCATCAATCAAAGTATGATCTTCACAATGTTAGCGACTATCGGTTCAACATTTGCAAATGCCACCTCTTAGTTGGTTGCTAAACAACTTGTCCATTATCGGAGGTCAACGGGGTTCTTGACGGATTTCTTTGCATTTTTCGCCGCTGGGGCATTATTAAGCATCCTCCACATCCACTATGACTGACCCAATTTATCGTAATCCCTCACTTTAAGTCCGAGAACACGGAACCATAAATAACTGTTAATACCGCCAACATCTTTATAGATATCAGTTCTGCGAAGTCGGGCCGCATAATTTCTCCATAATAGAATCGACAGGGAATCTTTGACCCTTAAGCTACCGTCTGGCGCTTCTATTAAATTATTCACCCTGGTTATCGAAGAGTAGTGACTCATTTGTCTGCAGTAATGATTATGGAGATTGAAAACCGAAACTGCTGAGGAAGTGGAATATAGCTCAGGATTGTCCAAAGCTGTTTTTAGCGAAAATATACTGGTGTGCAAAACCTAAGGACGAATGTAGCTCTTGCATGACGTGTTACTGGCGAGTAACATAACTCTATGGAACCTAACCACACATAGAAAGAGCTGCTACAGGCAGTACAGAAAGCAATTGACAGGAACCGTTAAACGGTCCACAAAGCTATCAGTAAATTATGTTACTTCATCTACCTCGTCCCTAAGTTTTGCACACCAGTGTAATTCCCTTTCAAGGTGAGCTGTTAAAGGGAGTTGCTGCACGGAGAAGGAAGAACAGAAATGTAGGAGTAGTATTTTGGGCTGCAACCAAAGTCCCCCTTTGAAAGTCCCCCGCGTGTTAGCCAGAAAACAGTCCCCCGTGCGCTAAATGACGCATAATTTCACAAAAAAAACGCCCGGCAGCAGAGACGCGCAAATGTATCTCACCAAGATGAAACTGTCCATTCTAGGAAACCTAGCGTGAC